TTTAGTTTTTTTTCTTTGAGATGGAATCTCCTTTTGAACCTTTCCCACTTACCCAAAAGGCAACCCAGAGGCGTACACATTGGTTTTGACTTACCCTGCCCCATGATGCGCTGAGCATTTCCCAGAAGGCCTTTAGAAGGATTTCAGCAGGCCTCTCTGATTTTCCTTCTGTCAATTCTACCAGGCGTCCCTGGTCAAAAGTGCTCACACACTTATACCGGATCAGCTCACCCTGGACTCAAACCGGGGTAATATACCAAGAAGAGTTTTCCAAAACTCCCCCTTCCACCCAAGGAGCTCCCCCTGATTCTACTCGAACTCGCCTATTCCCATAGAGTTCAACTCTACTCGGGAGTCACCAGCTGTCAGACAGGGAGGAGCAGCTTGCTGGCCTCTAACCAGCACCGGACTCTAACCAGAGGCCCTTTCTTTTCCCTCTTTTTGAACCAGGTCTTCCCCCAGGCAGTTACCCTTTTTACCAGAGGCTTTTTCTTCCCTGGGAACTCCTTGCCTTGTTGGGGTTAGTTCTCTCAGGATCGTTTTCCTCTCAGCCACCCTTTCCTCAAGCCCTAAATAAATAAAAAATAAATAAGTTTCCAGCCAAATTTGCCTTATCCCAAATGCTGAGGGAGAGCTCTCTAATGCTGGTCATCCACCCATCCAAAAAGAGGTTCTTTGAGGAAGACAAGAATTCTGAGGCAAAATTCGCCTTTAGTCCACTCGTTGCCCCACATTGGGCACCAAAACTGTTACCGGACTGTGCCAGTCAACAGCTGGGGCAAACCCCAGGTAGACCCCAGACCCGAAGCCAAAAAGAGCCTGAGACGAGACTTAGAGCCAAAACCAGCTTTATTCTGGTGCACTATAGAATAAAGGGAGACAAAAGGGGACATTCAGCCCAAAGCAGTGTCTCAAAAGTTGCACCCCAGTACATGCGTTTTATACCCTAGGTAACCAATTAGGTCACCTAATACATATCTAATGCATCGATACATCAATTCATGCACCCCCTCCCGTGCTGGAGAAAGAGTCCTTTCTTCTGTCAAGGATCAGACATTTCCCATGTCTATTTCTTATCTGCTCGAGATTCACACAGGCTTGCCATGTTCTTACTCCCTACACATTTGCAACTTTCATGGTGGCTGGAACCAGTTTCCACTGTGCCTTTGATTACTGTATTCGAGGTCAGGCTAGCGTGTTAGCTGTGGGTTATACAAAGTTCATTTTGTTCTTATCTGCCCTCCCTTCTGGGACAATATAACTGTGGTGTTTTTACTATGTGGCCTTTCTCTGGCCAATTACTTTTCGGGTGTTTTGGGGTGCTGCAATTGGCAACAAAAACATAGAAACAGAGCGAATCAGAAGGGGTCTCCTGGGCCATGTAGTCTGACCCCCAGCTCCAGCTGGCTTCCCTCACAACATGCCCACAATGTGCATGTCCAGCCTATCTTTGAACACCCTCACCGATGGGGCCTCAACCACCTCCCGTGGAAGCCCATTGCACACCCTTGGGGTCCTGACTCTCAGGAAGTGCTTCCTGGCATCCAAACGGAACCTTGGTTCCCTGAGCTTTGCTACATTCGAGCTCGTCCTGCCTTCCTCTGCAGGGGAGAACAGGTCTCTACCCACCTCCATGTGACATCCCCTCACATACCTGTATGTGGCCAACATATCCCCTCTGAGTCTCCTCTTCTCCAGGCTGAAGAGACCCAGTTCCCTCAGTCTCGCCTCATACGGCATCCCCTGCAAACCGGCCACCAACCTTGTGGCCCTGCACTGCACTGAC